TCCAGGAGGACTTCATAGAAGAGGTGACATTTGAGCTGGGCCTTGAAGGACCAGAAAGCAGTTTCCACCTAGAGAAGGAGGGAGGGCATTCTAGACAAAGGGAAAAGGCAGAGCACAGGTGTGGAGAGGCAGACGGATGTGACGTTTACCAGACCCCATGGCATGGCTGTGATCAGAGGGAAGAGTGCCAGAGGGAATGAGAAGGTCTAGCTGGGCGGGACCAGCTACATGATTTGCAAAATGAAAATGCAGGGCACCTTGGAGGAGGCTAGAGGGGTGTGTTGGAGGCCTCTGGCTGCTGTCACACATGGCCACAGACTGGGTGGCTTCCAAGAGCAGACATTTGCCCTCTCACAGCTCTGGAGGCCGGAGTCTGGAACCGAGGGGCAGGCAAGGCCGGGCTCTGTCCCAAGCTCTGCCCGAGCTCTGGGGGCTACTTCCCTGCCTCCTCCAGCCGGTGGCCCCAGGCACTCCTTGGCTTGCGGCTGCCTCCCTCCAAACTCTGCCTCCACCTTCACAAGCCCTCTTCTCTTCTTTCCTGTGTGTCTCTTGTAGGGTCACTTGTCCTTGGATTTAGGGCTCACTCTGATGGCCCAGGAAGATCTCACCTGGAGCTCATTAACGTACTTAGATCTGCAAAGACTCTTTTTCCAGATACGGATGCGTTCACGGGTTGCAGGCCCTAGGACATTGCTCTTATCTTTTCAGGGGCCACCATTCAACCCCCATAGCAGGCGAAGCCGGCATGCCTCTCCCCTAAATGAGACCGGGAGAGCAGGCCGCGAAGGGTGCCGGGAGCTCTGTCCGTGGCTGCCCGAGTCTGGCTTTGGCCTGTGACACACTCTCCGAAGAACCATCCTTCCGGGGAGCTGGAAGGCTTCCAGCTGGCCCCTGGGGCAAGGAGGGTGGGGCCTGGGCAAGCAGGTTCCAGGAGAAAGCCTGCTGACAGGCAGAGCCCTTCCTGGCTTTGATTCATTGACTGTCGGGGCGAGAGCTGGACCGAGCTTCTTGGAATGACAAAAATGCCTCACACATATTTTCCTCCCAGCCAGCGGTTTTGTTCTCAGCTAGCGGAGAAGGTCTGTCTGCTCTGCCCAGCCGGCTCAGACCCCCATCCCCTCATCCGTCTGCGGCTCCCTCTGCGCCCACCCATCTTTTCCCCAGAGGCACCCTCTCTTCACTGTCCCGTCATTGAGGCTGGAGTGGGCAGGGCTTGACCACGTCCTCATAATTGAAATATTTGGCCCCTGAAGTGAGGCCAAAGCAGGGTGGTGCTTCCCCCAAGTCAAAGGATGGATTCAATCTGGGCTCTGCTCAGGCAGGAGGGGGTGCCGGACATGTCCTGCACACTCCGTCTAGCAGACAGCAAAAGCCTCTGTGCTGGGCCCCAGCGGACCTGTGTGGCCTTGGCCTGAGGCAGGGGCAGAGACCCAAGGCCCACTGATCCCCAAATCCCTACCTCTGGCATGGTGCTATCTTTCCCAAACCCCTCCTGCCAGGCACCAGCTGAAGTCACCCCAGACCCACAGAATCTTCCAGAAGGAAAGAAACCATCTGAGGTCCCTTCTGTAGGTGTATATACATCAAGAAAGAGGTTTTTCAAAGTTCTGGAGACAGGAGGTGCTTCTGAGGCATATGTAGACCCTGCCTCTCCCTCCGGACTCAGGAGTCCTCTCCTAGGTAGGACCAAAGCCCCATTTGTGCCTGTGTCATTCTGGGCTCTTGTAGAATTCCCTTGTGGGCTGCACTGGCTGCTGGGCATCTGATATTCTGCAGTGTGCTGTAGAAACAGCCCCTAGGAATGCACTGGCCACAGGTGGGGCCCATCACATCACTCACTACCCGCTGTGGGTCCCGTAGGGCGAAATCCCCTCTAGAACCCAATCCTGGGACTGACGTGTTTTCCCTGAGGCTCGAGAAAGCCTCTTCCTTTCTGCCTATGAGAATTGCATAACAGATCACATTTCCCTTTTCTCTTTAACTGCCAGGAATCTCGGAGCCAACTCTGAAGCTCAGCCATGGTAATTATGTGACCCTTCAGTGATCTGAAACATTTATTTTCTTTTTTTCTGAGGTCTTGGTTTTCTCAGTCTGTTTATATCTTCTCTGATGCTGATTCTCATCTCTTTTATCAGTGTTTGCATTATGTGCCTTCTGTTGCAAGCTACTTCGCATGCTGTTTAGAACAAAGAAGACTATAAATAGGGAAATAAACATATTGTGGTTCCATCGTGACATTCACTTTATTGCTGAAAATATGGTTGTTGGGTATGATAAAGTGAATTCCCCTTCTGCATATCTGACTTAGGGCAGAGGTGGCCTGAGAAATTCTCTCCACTAACCCTTGAGCTTCTTGGTATAAAGCCCGGCATAGAGAGGCCCTTACCCATCCTGACCAGGCAAGTGAACAGAAGATGAACATAAAGATGAGCAAATATAAAGAGTCCGTCACAAGCTGAGTGATATCAGGATGGTCCCTGAGCCTCCCGGGGTCTCAGTTTCCTCGTCTATAAGATGGACACAGTAATCTAGTCCCACCCTCAGAATGGTTAGGAACATCTAACAATGGGTGAGTTCGTACTTTGTAAACTGTAAAGCGTGGGGCCGTGACAGAGTTTGTGCACCCAGCAGGATGGCTGCTGAGAAGCACCCTCTTGGGAGGGGGTTCCTCTCCCTGTGCTGTGAACTCCCAAGAGCCAGAATGGGAGAAGACTCAGACGGGGATCTGGAATGCCCCTGGCTCTACAGAGTCCCCGAGGTCAGTATGTGTCTCTCCACGGGGCTCCTCCAGGCCAGGGCTCAGGGTGCTGTCAGAGGAGCCATCAGCTGGAGGTTTATCCACCCTACTCACCCCTTTCCCATCAGCCTGGGCCCCCCACCTTGGACGGAGCTGTTCGAGCCTCTTTTCTGCATTCCCTGAGGGAGGGGACCCCCTTTCCCTGCAGAGGGGAGACCAGTGTCTGTGACTCATTCTGCTCTCTCCATCCCGACCTACAGATGGGTGGGTTGGGTCCTGATTCACGCAGCACTTCCATCTCCCTGTTCATGGGCTCTTTTTGGCAGTCTTGTGGAGAAGACAGGACAGCATTCATCACCCATTCCTCTTACAATTTCACAGATAAGGGAGCTGAACTCACCCAGGAGGGTCACGGGAGGTCGCATGTGGTGGAGCCACCGAGGCCCCAGACCTCAAGGGCGGGACCTTCCCGGCAGGGCAGACAGCCTGCCTTCCTCCCAGTGACCGTTTTCACCTCTTACCGGGAAGGTGACCCAATAACAAATTAACTGTTCTTTGTTCTCTCTGGCCAGGGCAGGGCAGGGCAGGAGCACCTGCCCTCTGCTCAGGGGCAGAGGGCTTCCCAGGCAGAGGCAAGGGGGAGGCCGGCCGACAGCCCGGCCCTGCGGGGCGGCGATAAGCCTCTGACGTCCCCAGACTCCCCTCATTTCTGCACTTCAGCGTTTGTTTTGTTTTCCTCTAGTTTCCTAGTAGAGGTTTCTTCTGAGAAGCTTCAACCTCTTCTCCCACGAGCAAAGGGGAAAGGGGACGGGCGCTGATGGGGTGTGGCCTGCCTGGGATTCAGCTGGCGGCGGGCAGAAACTTGACAGGAAGACTCCCAAGCAGCGGTGGGTCGGCCCGCGGAGGCCGGCCAGCCTCTCCCTCCCAAGCAGCCGCCCTGGACATTCACACTTGGCACCTTCATAGACTGTGGAGGAGTGAGAGCTGGAAGGCGAGCCGGGTGGCCTTGCTCAGATCTCTGCACACCAGTTGCCTGGGATCCTGTTATAGGGCAGATCCTGATTCAGCAGATCTGGGGTGGGGTGGGGAGAAGGAATATGCACCCCTGATCAGCTCCCAGGTGAGGCCAACACCGCCCAAAGTCATGGCTCAGGCACCTTCGTTGCACAGAGAACAGAGAGCAGGGCCCCGTCCCCTGCTGGCACCCAGAGCGGCAGTGCCCCCTCCCCCTCGGCTGCCGCACCTTCTTTCCCAGGTGCGCCCACTTGTCCCCACCAGCCTGGGAACTCGTGGAAGACATGGCGGTATCCCATTCACCTCTGGAACCCAACACAGGACCTGACAGTCACAAACACTCCTGAACGAGCAGGCAGACGACTCTCAGAATCTGACCAGACCCCAGAGGAATCTCAGCTGGGGGTGTCCCAGACCCGAACCCCAGAGCAAAGCCTAAGGGAGATGTTTGGGGCTGCTCCAGAGCTTCTGTGTCTGTGGCCATCCGGTTCCAAGCTGGGAAGGGGTCCCAGAAAGCTGAGAAGGCTGCTGTGAAAGAGGGTCCGGGGTGTGGGGTACAGGGGGCACAGGAGTGTCCACTTCAGGAGAGCTGCTCTGGCCCAGGAGACGGAAGAGCCCTGCTTCTGGCCCCAGCATCCTATGCAATTCCGGATGGGACCCTTGGACTTCCTGCTCCAGAGCCGTTCGCACCCGTGAGCTTTATCTCCCCTGGGAGGGTCAGTGGGCCATTCCATGGGGACAGAGGCCTCGGCAGCTGGTGTCCTCTGTCCCTGAAGTCCCATGTAGGGGACAGAACTTGCAATTTGGAGCTAAAAGGATGGCCCTGAACACTCTGCCAGCGTGACCCTGGGCCAGCAGCTTCGCCTCTCTGAGCTTCTGTTTCCCACCTCCATTAAACGGGGATGAGGACTTCCAGGGACTCAGGATCAGAGACGTAAGTGAGGGGCTGGAAATGAAGGACTAAGATACCAATTAATAAGCCTCCCCAATTTGGGGGCAGCCCCTCCATTTCCTGGTGGCAACCCATGAGATGGAACCCCCTCTAACTTGTTTGGCCTGTGCCAACATTCTGCCCACCCCGTGCCTGCCCATGCCAGCCTCCTTCCCTGGGGGGCAGCACCCCCTCTTCCCACCCCCTGCCCTCCGGCAAGCAGAGCTCCACTCAGCTGGTTGCTCAGGGCAGGAACAGTGCCGCCCCTCCAGCCCTGTCTCCCCACATCAACACACTCCGGAGAACTTGCCAAGAGCAGATTCTTTATTAATTTCTCTTTTTTCTTAAAAAAAAAAAAAGTCTTCCTTCAGTATAAAAAATAAATATTTTAAATATGACATTGAATAAATAAAAATAATCTGTCAGTCTGAAACATTCCCACAGGGTACATTCATCAAAGAGGAATTTTCCCCCCGCGGCAGAGGGACGCAGGAGCCAGCACTGTGGACGGACCAAGACCCGGGTACTGGGGTTGGGGGGGGCTGGGCATGATCTGAGGGTAAGGACAGCGCACCATCCGAAGGGAAACTAACTTCTCACTTGATCCTTGTCCCCAGCTCAACGCGCTACATCCGTCCGGAGAACCACTGAGGAGCCCGACTGCTTCGTAGGGGGAGACACCCCTGAGGGGGGGCAGGAGAGGGGCAGGAGGCCCTGACAAGGGGGGGAGGTAAGTAAACTGGCGGCACATTTTTGTTTCAAAATTGTTTAAATAAATGAGGTTCCCAATACTCCTCTCTCCATAAACTGCGAAATGACTGTCCTGCCCTCCTCCTCTGGGCTGGCCGGCGACCCCGGATGCAGGTGTGGGTCAACACCAGCAGATGAAAACAGTGAGGAAAAGGACAGCTTCCTGCCCTGCAAAGCTTTTTCCACACAAAGGCTCCATGCTCTAGGGATACTGTGCAAAGTGACCTGCCAGGATGGTTCTAGAAGGAGTGCTGAGGATGGGTGCAGAGGGGCAGGGTGGGGAGCTGGGCTGGGGAAGGGAGGGTGTGGGTGGCAGGAAGGTGGTGGAGCCAGGGGCGGCACTGGGTCTGGGAGACAAGATTCCCTTGGTCCCTGCCCAGGTAGGTCCAGCATGGACCCACAGAGGCTGTATCCGTGGGATGATGGGATGATGGGGGACCCAGGCAGCCCCAAGCCATCTGAGCCCCTTCACCAAAGGAGTGGAGCAACAGGCAGGCAGCAGGCTGAGATCCTGGGCGAGGGGGAGCGTGACCCAGACTGAGACTTACTGGAAACTGTGCAGCCGTCCCGACCTCCCAGAGGCCACCCGCCACAGAACGGTCTTCCCAATGGGACAGACAGCTCCAACCATGCCCTCCTGAACCCCAGACCTCAGGGCCTGCCCGCTGCCTGCCCTCCTGCCCTCCGCCGGGCCGGGAAAGTGCCTAGAGAAGACAGAGTGCAAAGGGCATGAAGTACCATGATTGCGTTGGCTGAACTGCTAGGTCCGCAGCCCACTCTGGGTCTGAGAAGAAGCCAGGAACTGCTCTTAGCAACTGCCCCAGCTCTGCACCCTCCTCCCCTGCTCCCAGACTGCAGGGCGTTTCTCCAATAGCCTGGCCCCAGCACAAAGGAAAGATCGGGTTCCGTGCCTGGGAGCCCAGACATGGGTGGGGGTGCAGAGGGAGGTGGGGCAGGAGGGACCACAGCTTCCTGGTCCACATCCCAGGGCCTCCGTGTCCTCCCCTCCAGAGCAGGGGTCTCCTCCCAGCACTGCCCCAGCTTCCTGAGGTGCAGCCAGGCCCTCTTGCCCTGTGTGGGTGTCCTCTGCTGTTCTAGCATGCCGGTGCTGGCACACGACTGTCTCGGAACCCTGGGACTGCTGGCCTGAAGGCAGCGCGGGCACAAGAAAACAGCAGCAGAGCAGGCCCCCAGGGCTGCCTGCCCACTGTTCCAGGGCTCTGTTTTGACCATGAACGTTGCCCCTCAAAGCACAGCTCCAGGGGCCACCAGAGGTCACAGTGTTGAATGAGCCCCCTAGAGCCCGGCACCATGGTGGCCCTGAGAAAAGACCCCCCGCCACTCCACAAACCAGCCCAGCCTGCCTTGCAGCCGGGCTCCTGATACCCCTCAAGTGAGTCACAGTTGGGTTGGGGTATGGACCCGGGTCCCCTGTCCCCCTCCTAGGCTGACCAGTTCTCCCAAATCCTGAGCCTTCTCTGAGCTTTCCCCCAAAAGGCTTATCCACTTGTAACATCTTCGATTTCCAGCCCCAGCCCAGAGAAGCTCTGGCCCTGGCTCCTAGTGAAGGAGTCATCATATTATTCCTGTTGGGTGGGGAGCAGAGAAAAGGGAATTGACGTTGCCATTTAAAGCACCAATAAGTTAATATAAATAGGGCATCATAATAAATAGACAATCATGCTGGGTCAGACACACAGCGCTCTGGACCTCAGGATTCCCTGAGACCCTGATCTCAAGTTCTGCTGTCCCCCTGCTCTAGGGAACACAGGCCTCTGGTCCCCCGCAAGCAGCTCTGTGTGACCTTCCAAGGCTTCCATGGGCCTCGGACGTGAGCTGCTGCTCTGAACCACCCCACCCAGCCCCTCCCTCACAGACCCTTGTCCAGAAGGAAGAGTCTGGGTCCCCTCAGAATGGCCTCACCTGACTTTGCAACCTGCCCACCTCCACCAATCCCACCTCCAGGTCTGGCCACGGGACCCTGGCCATCCTGGGCTACGGGACAGACTTCAGGGAAAGGGAAGGAGAGCCCGCCAAGGCCTGCAAGGCTGGTCTTCCTTCCAGCATCTTCCTCCCCGGCCTCTCTGCCTTTCCAAGAGCCTGAACACCAGTGACCTCCTTCTGGAATGTTCTGCCTAACAGTCCCTAGGCCTTAGCTCTCCAGTCATGCTCAAGAGAAGGCAGCATCTCAAACCAGAGCCCCCTTCTCTCACTTCCACGTGCCATGCTTGTAGGGCCAAGGGGTCCTTTGGGATCCCAGCCCCTCTGCCCTACCCAAGTCCCCACTGAACCTCCCAACGTCTGCCTGAAAGGCAGCGAAGGCACTGATGGTGGTCACCCTGCAGGGGCCGCAACTGACCTGACCCCTGCTGTCTCGCCCGTGGTCATGCTCACTGTGGGTAATCAGTGAGGGCTCCTTGCAAAGCCCCTGGCTAGAGGGACAAGCTGGGGCAGAAGTCCAGCCATGCTCCGCCCCACCCCCACCAGCTTGACACCCTGGCGACTGGCTGCAGTCTCCCCGGAAGAAGAAGCACCTCCTAGCTGGCACTGTATATAGTCCCTGCCTCCGGGAGTTTTGAGTCTGCCCGGCTTCATCACAGCCCACCTAGGGAGGAGTGGACTGACCAGGAGCCCCGGGCCTGCCACTAGTATGGTAATGCTCTGGGCCCCGACAGTCTGAGAGCCACCTGAGTCTAAGGTCTCCGGTCACTGCAAGCTTCCAGACCTCCTCTCTAGAAGGCCTGGGCCACCACAGCGATGACCTGCTTATACTTCCCCAGGAGCTGACAGCCCAGCTTCTTCTTCTGGAAGACGTCCTTGCCGGAGGTGTCAGGGCCATAGGCCACATCCACATGGGCCACGTGGTACTTGCTGCACAGACGGCAGAGCACATTGCTGAGGAGGCCCCGCATGATGTCCGCTGTGGCGTTCAGCTTGCTATGGAGGCCGAGGGCATTGGGATTGAGGACCTTCTGGTCCCGCGTGATATTGCCCAGGGAAGCGCCAAGGTACGCGACAATGCGGTACAGCTCCAGCAGCCGGGCCTTCTCCGTGCCGTTGGCGTGGAAGGCAGGGAAGTCTGTCACGTTGGGGCCACACAGCTTGTCCAAGTTGTTGGGGAATGGCTCCCCCTGAGCGGTGTACTGAGGAGCAGAGGGGCAGAAGAGAGGTGACGTGGGAGTCAGGATGTCCCAGCCCTGTCACCAAGCCTCTGGGTAAGCTCGTGGGCCTCAGTTTCCCACCTGTGGCATGGTGACCCAACTATCTGCCTCGTAACCTTCAGAGCTGTCATGAGAGCAGACAGTAATCACAGGTGTGGATGCACGTGGTAAAGAATCAAGCGCACACCGTGCAACGTATTATCATCGTCATCATCGGAACCATATGGGGACAGAAAGGCAACACCGTGTCTCACCTCCAGCGGTGAACCACGCACACCCGCCTTTTCCCTCGCCGCACTCGCCCTCTTCCTGGGCGGCTCTGTGTGCCCAGACACCCACAGCCGCTGTCTCTCCCTTCTGCATGGCCCCATCCACCTCACTTCCTCTTTCCTCTATTTCTCACGCCTCCCTTTCCACATGGCAGAGAAACCCTGATACTAGATGTACCAGGCTTCTTCCTCCTCCTGCCAGCTCTGTCCCTAACTGGGCACCGGAGAGGCCAGGCTGAGGGTGGGGCAGAAGCTGTGGGAGCCCAGGTGGGACTGAACCCAGCCCCTTCCCCACTCTCTCTGAAAGACCCCTTCCCCTGCCAGCCCCACCTGCCCTCCTCCCTCCCTCCTTCCTCGGGACCCTGCAGAGTGACTTACATAGAGAATAAAGAGGGCATTGGCACTGCCATTGAGCTGCGCCAGCTGGTTCCTGATCTGGTTCATGAGGTTGCTGTGACATGGGTGGCGTGTGGCACAGGTGGCGTTGACAGGAGTGATGGGAAGGGGGCTCCCCGCCCCGTGTTTCCAGTGCAGAACCAGCAGCACTGGCACAACTCCTGGGAACAGGTGGGAAGAGGCTGTAAGCAGGGGGGTGGGGGCAGCAGAGGGGCTCAGGACTGAGGTCTCCGTCTCCCCAGCGACACCAGGGACCCTGCTCCCCCTCCAGCTCTATCTTTGCCTGACTTTCTAGTTTTAAGATGCCAGTGCCTCAGTTTCTCTCTGTCTCCTCTACCCAAATCCCTCTCTCTGCAGGGGGCAGTGCATGAGCTGTTCCCACAGTTGGAAGCTGGGTCCAGGGTGACACAACCCATCCAGCCCTTTCCCTCGGGAAGACAAAGGCTCCCCCAGCCTCCTAGCTCTCCAGCTGGACGGCACCCCGGGCCCAGCAGGTCTCAAGGAAGAGATGTCCCTGTATCTCCACCTCCCGGGATGGCCCAGATTCCTGAGCATTCCTCACCCACCCTCTGAAGCCCGAATCGCCCATGGGGACCACTTGGGAACACAGGAGGCCCCTCTGCTGAACCTCTCCTCCCTCCCAAACCTGTCCCTTGACGCTGGCTCCCTGGGCCATTTGTCCCCTAATTCCCCCGTACCTTCCATGGCTCTCCTCCAAATGTGGCCATTCCCAGATGTAGGACCCTCAACACCACCCCGAGTCTGCAGTTTGGTCCCATTCTCCATCCCCAAAATCATCAGTCAAAACTCCCTGTCCCCCCAGCTCCCAGCCTCCACGCCACCCCCTCTTGTCCACCCCTCCGTGGGTTAGGAAAGGAGAGTCCTGGGGTCTCCCGGGCCGCCAGAGCCTTGGGGAGGGAGAAGAAACGGCGCTACCAAGAAAAAGAACAGGGAAAAGGCCGAAGGCAGCCAGGTGGGCGGGGGAGGAGGGAAAGCAAGAGGTGACCGGGAAGCCGGGAGCTGCCTGGGCCTGTCCTGGGCCACCCCTCCCCCAGGACGCCCCCCCCCCCGCAACTGCCCAGGCCTCTCCCCGTGGCCCTGGAGCACGGGCCGGGGTCGGCCGACCAGGCAGGGGGAGAACCAGGGAGGCTGGGGAAGGCGGGCGCAGGAGCTTTCCGCCCGGTCCCCCCGCAGGGGCAGGCGCAGCTTCAGGTCACTTCTCCTGGGTCCCCCGTTCCTCCCACCCCAGACAGGGCCGCGGCCCCAGGACGGCCGGGGGGCCCCCAGCACCCCGGCTCACCTAGCACAGACCACAGCTTTCCAGGCACTAGCAGAGAGAGGCGGCACCTGCTTCCGTCCCGGGCCGGGGTGTGCAAGCTGCTCGGCGAGGGCGCCCCTCCCAGGGAGCAGCCCGGGACGCGGGTGGAAAAGAGAAAGCGGGAAGGCGGAAAGAAAGTACGAAAAAAAAGAAAGAGGGAGGGTGAATCGGCCAGAAGCAGCACGGGAAGAGCAGCACGGAGCGCGGCGGGGGAGCGGAGGGGGCGGCGCGGGAGGAAGGCTGCGGGCCCGCGCGGGCCGGGACCATGTGCCTGCGCTCGCTCCCGGCCGCCACCCCGCGCCTCCGGCCGCTGCGCGGGCGCCCCAGGTGTCCGCGTGCCTGCGGCGGGCGGGTGCCCCGCTCGCGATCGCCGGGCGCCCCACGTTGGCGCGGCAGCCGCAGCAGCGCGCGGACGCCGGCGGGGGCGGGGGGTTTACCTGCCGCCAAGACCTTCATCATGGGCTGGGCTCCGGAGGGCCTCGCAGGGCAGGAGACCTTAGACGCCGGCAGATTTCAGAGGTTCATGCTCAAACGGGGAATTTGCCTGATTTATATACTGGAGCCTGTGTTGTAAGACAGAGAGAGAAACAGCTATATTTAGCAGGGATCCCCGTCCAGGAAGTTGTTTGAGGTGCATCATAGGAAATTATGAATGAGAGAAAGTGAGAGTAAAGGGGGGGGCCGTGAAGGGGGGGCGGGGTGGGGAGAGCAGACTTTTCCCCTCTTCTAAGAATTTGATTGATAAAATTATAGTGAACTCTTCGACAAAACACCCCGTGGTTTTCCTGAGTGACTTTTTCTGGGAGTTGTTTGAAGTTAGGGAGGGCAAGGAGGGTCCCCAGGCCAACTCTCTGGGGTCCCCAGGGAATTGGGGGCTCCAGACAGCCCTGACTCACCTGGGTTTGGGGAGGTGGCTTGAGACTAGACAAGCAGATGGAAGCTGGCCCCTGGAGCCCCCCGATGGAGGGGCTGGGGGGCAGCAGGGAGGAGGCAGCCTGGGGCTTAGCTGAGAAGGAGGCTCCAGGAAGAGGGGCTGGGGCCCCGAGCGGACTTTAGACGGTCATAAAGCAGAACTGAACGTGGGTGCTGGAAGCCACCTTAGAGGTAGTCTCCGCCGGCCTGCCCACTGCCACTAGGCAAAGTGGGGCTCCAAAGGGAATGGGCTGGTCAGGGTCTCACAGGGTCAGGCCTCCTGGCGGCCATCAGCAAGCCTGCACTGCTGAACTGCTGACCACATGCACCTGTGATGCTGTGGGCAGGGGGGCTGGGAAGACGGAGGACTCTGCTCTTTGGGAAGAGCCTGGGGAGGAGCTTCTGGGAAGGTGTGTGTCCGGAGTTTACCTAAACTCTTTGCAACCCCACCTTCCCCTGAAGGTGGTACAGCATTCCATTCGGGGGGGCCACTGAAGCAGACATCTAGGGAGGCTTAGCAAATCGGATGGTTTCTGGGAAGAATACAAATAGCTTGTCACTCCCTGACCTGCCTAGGAAGACCCTTGGGGCTCAGCCTCAGAGAATGATGGTGGCCCCCAAGAGGTGTTTCTAGAATCTCTACGGCAGGATCACAAAGTCTGGTGTCTGTTGCGGCCTGTTAGATTTGTAAAGGAGTGAGGAGGGGCAGGAAGGAATGGTGAGGAGCAGGGCGAAGGAGGAGCAGGCACTCCTGCCCAGTAAAAAGCACTTCCAAAAAATGAGGGGAGGGAGTGCTGGCCAGAGAACACGTATCTGGGGCCACACTGTCCCGCGGGTTGCCAGTGGCATCCCCTGTCCCCAGAGGTGTGTCATTGCCCTGAGACCCCATCCCAGTCCTCCCACCTGACCCAGACCAGGAAATAAGACCAGAGAGGTGGTTCTCCAAGGTCAGAGAGCCCTGCAGCCTTTCCCTGGCCCCTGATAACCCCTCATCCATCCTCCATGCGTGCCCCCAGGTGCTGCCTCTTGCCACATCCCGGACCTGCCTGGCCACGCGCTTCTCCCTCATCTTGCCAGGACCAGCCCTCCTTCCTGCTGCCATTCCCTCCCCCCACACACCCTGCCCTATCCAGGCTCACTTCCCATGTTCTCCCAGCGGGCCTGGGATGCGGGGCGATAAAACTGCCTGTCCCAGCTGGCACTTCCCAGCAGGGAGGAGGCTGGTAGAGCCCAGACTCGCTCTTCTTCCTCCTCCCTGACCCCACACCTTGTCTCTTCCTTGGGGGTCCATGGAAGGTACCGGCTGGCATGTGCCCCTCTGTTCACCTGCTCGGGGATTGGGGTACATCTCCAGGAGGCCCACCCTCCCTAGCCTGGCTCAGGCAGCCCCACAGTCCAGGGCAACCCCTCTCACAGTTCTCCCCGTTCTCCCACACGAGGGCCTGCTGTGAACACTGAGCGAGGGGCCGGGCATCAGCCCTCGGGTCCCACCTCCAGTCCCGGACCCACCACCTGCCCCAGACCCATTTGGCCAGGGCCCTGTCTACGCATCGCCTTGTTCCCCCACCTGATTCTCTTGCTCAGGGTGCCCTGAGTCTCCTGCCACTCTGTCCCACTGGTCTCTCCCTACATCCTTCGAGTGACCTTCCAGGGCCTTAAACTGCCCCCTGGATCCCCAGATCCCACATCAGCCCTATAATCCACCCCCAATCGCCATGCTCGCTCAGCCCCACCCCATAGGAAACAGGAAGTGGGGGCGGAGTCTAGAAGGTGCTTAACCCCCACCCTGACTGGCACCCTCCATGCCTCAGTTTCCCCTCTCACGGTACCTGACTTGGTCTGTGCGCCCCAAGTGCTGTGGGTCCCTCGGCACCCCAGGCCCAGCCTCCCTCTCCTGCCCATGTCCAGGCGCCAGCAGCGCTGGACTTCTGCGGGGGAGGCGGGCAGGGTCTCGGAGCCGCCAGGCTGTAAGCTGCCTGCAACGTGGCCTCGGTCCCCAGGAATCGGCCGCCCAGGCCGCACTCCAGGCTGGCCTTGCTCTCCTGGAGTTTGTTTTCTTCCCTCCCTCTCTACGCTCTGTGTGTGTGTGTGTGCGCGTGTGCATGTGTGTGTGCGTGTGTGTTTCCCCAGCTTCCTCACGGAAGGCATCCTCCCTTCTTGGCTGCCTGCTCCCAGGGTCATGACCCCAGGCCCCACCCTGGAGTGGCAGCCCCAGCCCAGCCCCTTCCAGCTGTGACTTCATCCCCAGCCTGTCGTGCTTCTGCACACTAGGCCTACGCGGGATTCGACCGGCCTCAGGGCGAAGGGGACAGCTGGGGCCCACGGGGGGCCTCCCCCGGCCTGGGCAGGGGCTCGCGGGGCCAGGCGGGTGCTGACTCCAGGTGGCTGTGCTGTCCACTTCTGCGTCTCTGCTCTGCAGGAAGGAAGCCCATGGGTGGGCCTGGGGCCTTCTGAGGGCCTTCCGAGGGCTGCTCGGGGCTGTTTCTCTCTCTCTCCCTCCTACCAGCTTTGGCCAGGGTGGCCAACCAGCCACTCCTTCTCTGCCGACTCTCACCCACCATCCACAGCCTCTCCTGAAAAGTCTCAGATGCTTTATTTTTCAGATGGGGAAACTGAGGCTCAGAGAAGTTCAGGCACTTGCCCCAGGCACACAGAGATGCCAGAGCCCGATCTGGAACCCAGGCCTCTGGCTTGCAGGCCACAGGGATGCCAACAGCACCTCATGCTACAAGGGGAGTGGAGGGTGGGGAGGTACACTTAGACCGCTTCTTCCGGGATGCCCCCCTGCCTCCCGCCAAGTCCTGCCTGCTCTCCCTTTAAGTGGAGACAAGCCTTATTCCTCACTCTGTGAGAGCTTGGATGGGGTCTGAGACTCACACTTACTCTTGACAGCACCTGCCTCAGGGTTACATCAGAGTAGATACTAAGTATTTTTCAAAAGCATTTTACAATTTCCAAAAGCTGCCTGTGCCAAATCTCTTATGGAGAAAAGGCATGGAGCCTGGCAGTTTGAAGCGTGGACTCCAGCCTCAGTTAGAACCAGATTGGAGGTTTGGCTCTGTGTGACTTTCAGAAAGTGATCACCTCCTGGCCTCAGTTTCTCCATCTGTAAAATGGGAATAATGGCACCTATGCTATGGGCTTGCTGTGAGGGCTCAGGGTTAGGCACAGTTCTGAGCACCCTGCAAGCCCTCTGTACATCAGCATTGATCCTCACCACCTTCCTGGGAAAGTAGGGGTTCTTGCCCCCATTCTACAGCTGAGGAAACCAAACATACTCCAGGGCTGAGGGGCAAAACTGAGCAGGACCTGTCCGCACTCTCCTGGTGGATATTAGAGGCAGGATACCCTTTACTGACTCCAGCTTCAGGGACACCCCAGAAAGATCAAATGGGTCCTGTGGGCGGCTGGCATGGCAGTGGGCTCCCTCTCCTCCTATCCCATCCTGGCCCCTGACCACCCCCCTGAGCTGAGGGCAGCAGCTGACCCAGCCCCACCACCCCCAGGAGCTGATTCACCCCCAGGCCCCATCAGAGAAGGAAGGAGACATAGTTCTGCTCAGAGGGGCTTGAATCACCAGCCACCCCCTGCAGAGCCCTAGGGGGGAGCTGCGGGGGTGGAGGCCAGCCCCCTGCCTGCCTGTCTGTCTCTTTCCTGGGCCCCAGGGCGCTCAGGGGAGAGGGCAGTGTGGCAGTGGCCAGTGGCCGGGGGCTGGCAGGGAGGCACCCTCGCAGTCAGGCATCCTGTGTGGGCAGCCAGCAGCAGTTACTCACCAGGTAAGAAGCTCTCCGGGCCTTGGGGAATTCCCCAAGGCCAGTGACCCAGAAACTGAGCGCTCGGGGCAACCCCCATTACCCAGGCCTGCCCTCTCCTTCCTCCACCATCCCTTCTCCTGTGCCCAGCTACCATCTCAGTTCTCTGGAGACCCAGCCAGCAGCTGCTCTCAGCCACCAGCCTGTGCCCAGCCCCTGGCCATGATGATCCCACCTGGGAAAACGAGCACAGGGCAGTCAGATGGGCCTGGGAAGCGGGGGTCTACAGCGTGTGGCCCAGGGCCAGGGCTGGTGAGGGGCAGCCAGAGGAGACAGGAGAAGCTCAGAAACCTCGGGCACAGCCCGGCAGTTGGATGTACTGTACAAACAGGCCAAAGCCCCTCATTTACTCAGCACTTAAAAGATAAGGGTGCTGCTACACTTTGGGCTTCCACCCCCACCCCCACCGCCTGCACCCCACAGCACCATGAGACCGTCCATGTGCTCTCGGAGACCTCCCTGTAGCCCTGGCTTGGTTTTGCAAGTCAGCTTTGGGCTGTCTGGGGCTCGGCTAGCAGTGGCACCTGTGGCTAAGGGCGTGGCTTAGAGCCAGGAGGTCCTGGATTCAAATCCTGCCCACACATGTGACAGGGCAG